AGTATTTTATATGTCGTTATCATGTCTCCCCTGACCCTCCTGGCCTCCAGTGTCGTCAGGCCGATTTCCCTCAACCTTTCTTCGTAGGACAATCCCCGTAGCTCTGGGACTAGTCTTGTTGCAAACCTTTGCACTTTCTCTAATTTCTTGACGTGCTTGACTAGGTGTGGATTCCAAACTGGTGCTGCATACTCCAGTATGGGCCTGACGTAGATGGTGTACAGAGTCTTGAACGACTCCTTACTGAGGTATCGGAACGCTATCCGTAGGTTTGCCAGGCGCCCGTATGCTGCAGCAGTTATCTGATTGATGTGCGCCTCAGGAGATATGCTCGGTGTTATACTCACCCCCAGATCTTTTCCTTGAGTGAGGTTTGCAGACTTTGGCCATCTAAACTATATTGTGTCTGCGGTCTTCTTTGCTCTTCCCCAATCTTCATGACTTTGCATTTGGCAGGGTTAAACTCAAGGAGCCAGTTGCTGGACCAGGCTTGAGCCTGCCAGGTCTCTTGTAGTCCCTGCCTGAATCCTCATCCGATTTGATTCTTCTCATTAACTTCACATCGTCCGCAAACAAGGACACTTCTGAGTCTATCCCTTCCGTTATGTCATTCACATATACCAAGAACAGCACAGGTCCTAGGACTGACCCCTGTGGAACCCCGCTTGTCACAGGCGCCCACTTTGACACCTCATCACGTACCATGACTCGTTGTTGCCTCCCTGTAAGGTATTCTTTGTTGTGGTTGTGTGTGTGTTTTGTTGTGTGTGGTGGTGTGTGTGTGTGTGTGTGTGTGTGTGTGTGAAAGAAATCACAATATAATGTGTGATTGCAAATATATAAATATTACCACAGTGGAAATAGGAAAAAAACTGAGCGCTTTCATGTGCTTACACACACATCTTCAGAGGAATGGGAAGAAGAGGCAAGAGAAGCATGTTATATATGTTAAACGCTGAGGTGACACCTCACTCAGAGAAGCACCAGCAAATACCCTGAGTTTTTCTACTCCCAGAGCCCGGCCTCATGCCAGGCGTATCTGGTGCTTGATTGGTCAACCAGACTCTTGCTGCTGGTGGCCCGCTGACCCACATATCCCTCACAGTCTGGTTGATCTGACACCTGGTGAGGATGCTTTTCCAGTTTCCCCTTAAAGAATTTTACACTTGTTCCAGCAATGTTTCTGGTATTTTCTGGCAAGATGTTAAATAGTCTGGGGCGACGGACATTGATATAGTGCTCCATTATGCCCACTGTACTACTGCTTTCAATAACAGCAGCAGTAGCAGCACCACAAGCACTAACAGCAGTCGTAATGTCAGAAGCAGCAACAACAGTATCAGCAATAGATGCAGCGGTATCAACAGCAGGAGTAGTATCAGTAATAGATGCAGCAGTATCAGCAACAGACACAACAGTATCAGTAATACATGAAGCAGTATCAACAGCAGAGGCAGCAGTATCAGTAATAGATGCAGCAGTATCAACAGCAGCAACAACAGTATCAGTAATAGATGCAGCAGTATCAGCAACAGACGCAGCACTATCAATAGATGAAGCAGTATCAGCAACAGACACAACAGTATCAGTAATAGATGCAGCAGTATCAACAGCAGAGGCAGCAGTATCAGTAATAGATGCAGCAGTATCAACAGCAGAGGCAGCAGTTATCAGTAATAGATGCAGCAGTATCAACGCAGAGGCAGCAGTATCAGTAATAGATGCAGCAGTATCAACAGCAGAGGCAGCAGTATCAGTAATAGATGAAGCAGTATCAACAGCAGAGGCAGCAGTATCAGTAATAGATGCAGCAGTATCAACAGCAGAGGCAGCAGTATCAGTAATAGATGAAGCAGTATCAACAGCAGAGGCAGCAGTATCAGTAATAGATGCAGCAGTATCAACAGCAGAGGCAGCAGTATCAGTAATAGTTTAAGCAGTTCAACAGCAGAGGGAGCAGTATCAGTAATAGATGCGCAGTATCAACAGCAGAAAGGCGCAGTATCAGTAATAGATGCAGCAGTATCAACAGCAGAGGCAGCAGTATCAGTAATAGATGCAGCAGTATCAACAGCAGAGGCAGCAGTATCAGTAATTGATGCAGCAGTTATCAACAGCAGAGGCAGCAGTATCAGTAATAGATGAAGCAGTATCAACAGCGAGGCAGCAGTTCAGTAATAGATGCAGCAGTATCAACAGCAGAGGCAGCAGTATCAGTAATAGATGAAGCAGTATCAACAGCAGAGGCAGCAGTATCAGTAATAGATGCAGCAGTATCAACAGCAGAGGCAGCAGTATCAGTAATAGATGAAGCAGTATCAACAGCAGAGGCAGCAGTATCAGTAATAGATGCAGCAGTATCAACAGCAGAGGCAGCATGTATCAGTAATAGGGCAGATTTTCAACAGCAGAGGCAGCAGTATCAGTAATAGATGAAGCAGTATCAACAGCAGAGGAAGCAGTATCAGTAATAGATGCAGCAGTATCAGTAATAGATGCAGCAGTATCAGTAATAGATGCAGCAGTATCAGTAATAGATGCAGCAGTATCAGTAATAGATGCAGCAGTATCAACAGCAGAGGCAGCAGTATCAACAGCAGAGGCAGCAGTATCAGTAATAGACGCAGCAGTATCAGTAATAGACGCAGCAGTATCAGTAATAGATGCAGCAGTATCAACAGCAGAGTCAGCAGTATCAACAGCAGAGGCAGCAGTATCAACAGCAGAGGCAGCAGTATCAACAGCAGAGGCAGCAGTATCAGTAATAGACGCAGCAGTATCAGTAATAGACGCAGCAGTATCAGTAATAGATGCAGCAGTATCAACAGCAGAGTCAGCAGTATCAGTAATAGATGCAGCAGTATCAGTAACAGATGCAGCAGTATCAACAGCAGAGGCAGCAGTATCAACTATAGATGCAGCTGCAACAACAGATGCAGCTGCAACAACAGATGCAGCTGCAACAACAGATGCAGCTGCAACAACAGATGCAGCTGCAACAACAGATGCAGCTGCAACAACAACAGATGCAGCAGCAGCAACAACAACAGATGCAGCAGCGACAACAGATGCAGCAGCGACAGCAGATGTAGAAGCAGCAGCAACAGATACAAGAGCAACAACAGATGCAGCAGCAACAGGAGATATAGCAGGAGCAGCAACAGATACAACAGCAGCAACAAATACATCAGAAATAGATGAAGCAACAGCAACAGAAGCAAAAGCAGTAACAACAACAGATGCAGCAGCAACAGATGCAGAAGCAGCAGCAACATATGCAGCAGCAGCAGCAGCAACAACAGATGCAACAGTAGCAACAGACGTAGCAACAGATGTAGCAGTCGTAACCTAAGCAGCAAGAAGCAGTAGCAACAGATGCAGCAGCAACAGATTCAGCAGATGCAGCAGCAACAGATTCAGCAGATGCAGCAGCAACAGCACCGGAAGCAGCAGCAGCACTAGAAGCAGCAGCAGCAGTAGTACCAGCAACACCACCACCACCAGCAGATGTAGCATCAGAAGCAGCAGCAGCAGCAGCAGCAGCAGCAGCAGCAGCAGCAGCAGCAGCAGCAGGAGAAGCAGCTACAGAAGCAACATCAGCGGCAGCATCAGCAGCAGTGCCAAAAGCAGCACCATAAGCAACAGCAGTACCAGAAGCAGAAATAGCAGTGCCAGATACAGCAACAGCAGTCATAGTACCTATCTGGAGTATTCCTGGAAGGTGTTCTGGGGGTCAATGTCCCCACAGCCCGGTCCATGACCAGGCCTCATGGTGGATCAGGACCTGATCAACCAGGCTGTTACTGCTGGCAGCACGCATACCAATGTACAAATCACAGCCAGGTTGGTCAGGTACTGACTTTAGGTGCCTGTCCAACTCCCTTTCGAAGACAGCTAGGCTTTATCGGTAATCCCCCTTATGTATGTTGGGAGGCAGTTGAACAGTCTTGGGCCCCCCTGACACTTACTGTGTTGTCTCTTAGTATACTCATGGCACCCCTACTTTTCAATGGGGGGACACTGCATTGCCTGCTGAGTCTTTTGATTTCACAGGGACTGATATCTGTGTGCAGATTTAGGACTAGTCCCTCTTAAGGTCAAGGGACTTCAACCGTTCTTGAAAGGGGCCATTAGTGTACAGCAATATTCCAGTTTTGAAGGTTCTCATTATTCATCCTATCATTTTCCTAGCAGATGTGGTAGAAACATTGTTGTGATCTTTGACAGTGAGATTCTCTGACATTATCACTCCCAGAGCCTTCATATTAGTTTTTCACTCTACTGTGTGGCTGGAATTTATTTTATTCTCTGATCCAGTTTTTATTTCCTTAAGTTTTCCATAGCGAAGTATGTAATTGAAATTTATCTTCATTGAACTTCATATTGTTTTCTGAGGCCCATTAAAGACTTGGTTAATGTCCACTTAGAGATTTGCAAGGTCCTTAATAAATGACACTGTCATGCAAATTCTGGTATCAGCAAAAGAGGACATGGTTCTGTGGCTTACATCTCTGTCTACGCCAGTTATGAAGATGAGGAAAAGGATGAGAGTGAGTACTGTACCCTCTGGAACAGAGCTACAGCAGCACTAGAAGTGTTCTGAGGTTAGGGGTTCGAAATGTAGTGAGTGTTGCAGCAGTAGCAACAGATGAAGCAGTAGCAGCAACAGATACATTAGGAGCAGCACTACAAGCAACAGCAACAAAGAGGAAGTGTATGGCCATGGCATGTCAGATTCACTGTAATACTTTAATATTGTTTCCATCCTTATGCGGGGCAGACAAAAGTTTCAACTCTGTTGATTGCGAGATGTAATTCTATCTTTTTTTTTTTTTTTTTTGGGGGGGGGGGGGGAAGTAAGTCCAAAGCACAGTCCATGAAGGTTTGATGTTTGTGTGAAAGATGAAAATTAGACACATGTGCAAAATCTTGTCAGTACTGTATACCATCCATGTGTGAAAGGGGATGACAGTTTTTAACAAAGGCTTTCTCCCACACAGGTAAGGTGCCTCAAAAAGCAAGTAACACATTCATCATAATCTGTTCAATAGCTGTCTTGCCAGAAATGCAGACATCACAATTCATATGACCCTCCCAACTGCCGACTCCCCATCCCTCCTTCAGAGTACAGGCACTATACTTTCCACTTACAGGACTCAGGTTTGGCAAACCAGTTTTCTTGAACTCCTTCATAAATGTTAACTTTATTAACATTCCAACATCTCACAAAAGCCTGCTGGATGCTCAAACCCTAAGCCCTCAAAACCTTCACCCCCCATCCCCTCTTTCCAACACTTCTGGGGTAACTCCTACTCCTCCTCCCTTCCACTCTCAATTTGTGCACCTTCTTAGTCATCATATTCTGCTCCATCCTCTCTATTATTATTATTATTTTAGTACAGAATCCTTTATCTGAAATTCCATGACATGATGCGCCACAAATGGATCATTCAGCACAAGACATGTATGGAACACATTTGTACAGCATAATGATGTCAACGAGATAAAGTCAGTTGATCAAATGAAAATGCTGGCCCACAGATGGCTCCAACTTCATCCTGTTCCCTACTTGTATGTCTCATAACAATAAAAATGCTTTCAAATGAGCTGATGTAGGTAACAGCTCTTAGCTTGTCAATAAAGTTAGGAATCCTTAACCTGTAAATAGCTTGTCAATAAAGCTAGGGATCCTTAACCTTATCAAACCCTGTGTAAAAAAAAAAAAAAAAAAAAGACATAGTGGAGGCTTGATCCTCCATCTGTTGAGGTGAGACAGATGAACTTTATATATGTACTAGTGCCAGTTTGATTACCCCGTGTTTTGTGCTCTGTGGGTAATAGTGAAAAGAAAAAGAAGAAGCATTTGTGTTTATCCGTATCACAGAGAGTCAAGTTGTTGGAAAAAATTGAATGGTGTTAGTATGAAGCATCTGACTGAGGAGTTTGGCACTGGAACAACCACTATCAATGACCTAAAGAAACAGAGAGACAAATTGTTGAAGCTCTATGCTGAAAGTAATGAACATAAGTTAATGAAAAATAGAAAAAACATTGCATAGAGGGAAAAATGAAGATGTCGATCGTGTATTGATGGAGTGGATTTATCAGCGTTGGAACGAGCATATGCCACTTAATGGAATGCTGATTATGAAACAAGCAAAAATCTGTCGAGGCGAACTAAATATCAAAGGTAACTGTGAATATTCAGCTGGCTGGTTACAAAAATTTAAGAACAGACACAGCATTAAATATTTAGAGATTAGTGGTGATAAAGCATGTGCTGATACAAAGCTGCAGATAAAGTCACTGATGTGTTTGCCAAGACTGTTGCTGATAAAAATCTGCCTGCATTTATCTTCTTTTTGAAAGAAGCGATCATGTTTTTTTGGGTACAGTGCCTGTACAGTACAGTACTATGTTTAGACTTGGGTTCCATCCCCAAGATGTCCCATTTTATAGATGCAAATATACAAATATGTATTCCAAAATCCATAAAAATTTTGAAATCCGAAACACTTCCAGTCCCAAGCATTTCGAATGAGGGATTCTCAACTGCGCTAATATTATTATTATGATAATCAAATTAAGCACTAAACTCATAAGGGTTATACAGCACTCCACCTTCAATAAGAGCCCCTACCACCTCAGCAACCCTTCCACAACTCTCTGAATTATACCTATGATGACCAAGCACCATTTTCTAATTACTACAACCCTTATTTTCTTTATAATATTTACACCACACATTACCCTCAAACATGAAATCCACACTGCCTAAAGTCTCCTCCATGCAGCGCCTTTTAAAGTCTATGCCTCATACTCACAAAAAAAGTGTTGGTACAACAGTTCTTTGTCATAAATTGTATGTAGGGTCTCAGTGAACAGCCACTGGGATCCTACCAATGGTGTGAAAACACATTACGTAATTGGTTGGTCAGCACCACTGACCAACAATGCACATTCCACTTTTTAGAGGGTGGAAGTATAGTAGCTGTCTTGATCGACACGGGACATTAATTTTTGTGACAGTATATAGTCATTCAGGTATACATTAGGGTTTGCAGTATGCACTGAAAAAAATTAATTATTGGTGTCTGCAAGATTTCTGAGTGAGACAAGTTTCTAGGTTGTGAGTTTTAAGTATGCAGTTAGTTATGTCAGCATTGTCACTTGTCTGTCGTCACCTCTTGGTGAATCATCGTTGTTGTGCGTAAGCTGGCTCCATAATCAAGGTCATAAGGGGTCAGTGGTACCAGAGGTGGCAGGGAGAATGCCGGTACCATGTTTGGGCAATGAGTGCCCAAAAGCAATTCCAACCATATTTGGGTTGGTTAAATGTGATGCCATCTTAGAGATCCAGGAGAGTGAAACTGTGTGTCAGATATTCTAAAACAGAAAAATAAGAAGGATGGGGGGGGGGAGACAAGCACCTTACTCTCACTGCAACAGGAGTACAGTTATTCCTTGGAACCCACCTCTCACTCTACCAGATGCATAACTAGAATGGCACCTCCATAAATGAATGAGCAAGGCTTAGCAAAACTGCCTGTTCAGACAGGAGCACAAACTATGCAATCGTAATTCAGCTAATAAAGGTGGTGAGCAAAATGGCAAAAGATCAGGAGTCATAAACCAACAGTAAGCACTTCCTTATCTATAGTCACCCTCCGGTAATATTTCTTTCATCAAAGGTTCCACCACCATCTGGCTACCCAATGTTTCAGTGGAGGGCAACTTGACACGTCCTAAGGTTATATTACAACACAGCTGACAGTGATTCATTTCCCCTCTGCCTAGAAGTTGCATTTGACAAAAGGGAAAGTATCTGAAATAATGAGACCAAAAGAAGAGAGAGGATGAGAATATTTATATTTAATCTAAGGAAGGAGAGAAAGGCCCAATTCCTCTGATGAACAGCCCCTTTCCAACAGCTAAAATTCCTACCCCATGAAAGGAAAGTTTGCCAATGTAGCGAGCATCCCAAGAAGCATTTATGTTTAGAAAATAATAGCTCCTACTGAATGGGAGATAATCAGGTTTCATCCAAGGAAAGGGAAGATAGCTCCAGTTCCTCAGACCAAGAGCACCTTGCCACAATCAATATAACCCCCCCTTCTCCTCCCCTCCCTCATTAGATTGCTTACAAGGCAAGAGGAAGAGTATCCAGCAAGAATACACCAGCATGATACATTGACAGGAAATCATATATAGCATTTTTCCTAGCAGTGGGCTGTGAATGGTTGTCCAGGGCAATTTGCAAAAATTGCTGAGGACAGGAACTACAGGGAACTTGCACTCATTCACTGACAACTGGGAAAATTTGTGTCACACATGATATTTGTGAGTTTGTCATGTTGCTTGAGTATACAGTAAGAGTTTATGTTAAGAGCTTGAAGAACTAGCCAGAAAGAAATAACTTGTGGATGAAGGATATACAGTGACTGCACTGTACTCTAAAGTCAAGTGAGGATGTTGTGGCTCATTGAGTCATCATTACAATGTGATATCTGCATCCTTCTCTGAGGGAAGGGAGTGGAGGGAAGGGGAGGAAGGAGAGGGGAGAGGGGAAGAAGAGGCAGGCAGGCAGGCAGGCAGGCAGGCAGGCAGGCAGGCAGGCAGGCAGGCAGGCAGGCAGGCAGGCAGGCAGGCACGCAGGCAGGCACGCAGGCAGGCACGCAGGCAGGCACGCAGGCAGGCACGCAGGCAGGCACGCAGGCAGGCACGCAGGCAGGCACGCAGGCAGGCACGCAGGCAGGCACGCAGGCAGGCACGCAGGCAGGCACGCAGGCAGGCACGCAGGCAGGCACGCAGGCAGGCACGCAGGCAGGCACGCAGAGGCAGCACACGTAGGCAGGCACGTAGGCAGGCACGAGGCAGGCAGAGGCAGGCACGTAGGCAGGCACGTAGGCAGGTACGTAGGCAGGTACGTAGGCAGGTACGTAGGCAGGTACGTAGGCAGGTACGTAGGCAGGTACGTAGGCAGGTACGTAGGCAGGTACGTAGGCAGGTACGTAGGCAGGTACGTAGGCAGGTACGTAGGCAGGTACGTAGGTAGGTACGTAGGTAGGTACGTAGGTAGGTACGTAGGTAGGTACTGTGTGTGTGTGCGCGTGTGCGTGCGTGCATGCGTGCGCGTGTGTGCGCATGCGTGCACATGTGTGCGCATACTCACCTATATGTGGTCGAGTCATAGCTCCTGGCCCCTCCTCTTCTATGGTCGATACTAAGTTACTCTTTCCCTGCTCCATGAGCCTTATCATACCTCTTCTTAAAGCTATGTATGGAACTTGCTTCCACTACTACTCTCTCCATATTATTCCACTTCCAGACAACTCTAAGGCTAAAGAAATACTTCCTAACATCCCTATGACTCATCTGGATTTTCAGCTTCCAACTGTGGCCCCTTGTTCCTGTATCCCATCTCTGAAACATTCGAGCCATGTCCCCCTTGTCAATTCCTCTCAGTATTTTATACGTCATTATCATGTGCCTCTATCCCTCCTATCCTCCTGTGTCATCAGGCCGGTTTCCTTTAAGCTTTCCTCACAAGACAATCCCTTTACCTCTGGGACTAGTCTTGTTGCAAACCTTTACACATTCTCTAATTTCTTGACATGCTTGACCAGGTGTGGATTCCAAACTGGTGCTGCAAACTCCATTATGGGCCTGATGTACATGGTGTACAAAGTCTTGAACAATTCCTTACTGAGGTATCGGAATGCTATTCTCAGGTTTGCCAGGCACCCATGTGCTGCAGCAGTTATCTGGTTGATATGTGCCTCAGGATATGTGCTCAGTATTACGTATACTCACCCCAAGATCTTTTTTCTTGAGTGAGGTTTGCAGTCTTTGGTCGCCTAGACTATACTCTGTCTGCAGTCTTCTTTGCCCTTCCCCAATCTTCATGACTTTGCATTTGGCAAAGTGCATGTGTCTATGTGCATGTGTATGTGCATGCATGAATGCAGTACAGTGGTACCCCGAGTTTCGTACAGCTCCCAACTCAAACAATTATATAAGGGTATTATTGTAAGTGCTTTTGTAAGTGTATTTTTGGAGTTCTGAAATGGACTAATCTAATTTACATTACAGTATTCCTTATGGGAACAAATTCGTTCGGTAACGGCACTCAAACAGCCTTCTGAAAAGAATTATGGCCAAAACTCAGGGTACCACTGTACTTGGTAAAAGGTGATAGAAGACCCTGCAGTCCTTACCAAGGCTACACTGTGAGATAGACACACAGAGACAAATAGAAACACACACACACAATGAAACAAATACAGACAAAAATCAGACACACAGAGACACAGGAAAAGAAGAAATTACTGACAATAATTGTGCCCAAAATGAACATGCATGCTAGTGGCTTTACTGTGTGCTTAACAATATTTCAGTACATACATGTAAATAAAATGTTCGTTTCCTGCCCAGCATATAACAGTGTACGTAGTTGAATCATTCAGGGAACTTTATTAACATGATGCTTCTCTATAATTTCAGACAGAAAATGTGAGGAGCAAGACAGTGCTTGAAGGTACACATGAAGCCGAGTCATCTGCCACTGTCAGGGAGGAAATGGTGATAAGTGTGTTACGTACATACTACTCCCTTAAGTGACGCAACACCTTTCTGAAATCCCGTACATACAGGAAAAGCGTCATGCTCTGAAGGTACAATACATAAACAAGTGCTCTTGTTATTTACTTTTATAGTAGAGACAGACTGAGCAACTGTTGTGCTTACTTCAACTGCTACTAGGCAACTTCTCAGTGGATTATCAACAACATAAATTACTGTGGTCTCAAGAGGTCACAGAGGAAATACAGCAGCATTACACAAATATCTAAACAATGAGAGGCTTGTGTATACCTGCATCTACTATCTTCATAGTTATCCTCTATACTGCAAGAACAAGAACAATGACTACTGATGATTCAACACGCATATTAAACTGGGCACCACTTCGCCTCAAGTCCCCGTACTTAACATTCATGAATAAATTCTACAATCCATCATGGCGAACAAGACATCCCATCACAAAGGAAGAAGAAGCCCTTCGATACCTGCAGCTACCACGGGGTGTCCCATTTTCCACTGTGTGCGGTGCATGCTTTGCAAGATCACACATTTCAGCCAATCTTACTGTGAGTGTGACTGGCCATGAGTACCGCAGTGTTCCAAAAACTTACAACAACAACAGAAAAACAAAGTATCATGTGGGCTACCTTGAGTGCTTGATGACATATATGATTACAGCCCCGATTGAAAAAGATGGTACAATAACATGCACTTTAAACCGTGGAAAACAAACTATAATCGAGACTATATCATTTGCTGTGGTTGATGCAAGTGTTGACGAAGCTCCAAAGGAGCTAGAAATTCAGGATCCACAGAAAGAAATTTCATTAAGTTGCCCTTTGCCTCATGAGATGCCATCATCCAGGAACCCTCTAGTTCATGTGTGGCATGAGGATAGTGAAGTTTTTCCATCAGTAAGTTCCCTTACTCCAGAAATGAGACCAACCATGTCAATAAGGCGCTCAAAGAATACAAGGAACATTATCTGTTCAGTTTATAATATTGGTAAACTAAGTAAAGTATATCAAACACGTTATCAAGTTATAGGAAGTCATTCCAGGGCTAAACAAGAATACCACATCTCGTATGACCCGAACCAAGGGGATGTAGAGGAATTTACACCAACGAGAAAGTTGTCCAACTCAGTAGTGGGAATAATCACAGCTGCAGCTGTACTATGTACACTTCTCACAGTCTTAGCAATCTGCCGCTTTGTTACAGCTGCCAGGAGAAAGTAACCTAGTGATATATACTACCCAGAGCTCCATAAATTTTAAATGATTATAAATCTCGGTGCATATAAAGATTTCACTGTTTATCACTTTTATACTATACTATATCCTACACTCACTGAATAAAAGATAAATGCATCTCCTTTCAAATGCCCTACACCAGTGGAAAAAGTCACACACGGCAAAAACTACAGAGTAGAGAGCACACAATGTGTGCACTGTCAGTTATATTCATTACACAGTTTATGTCCGTCTGGTTAATCTTGACTGAGTACAAATTATGTGACTGCAAGTGTGTTCCAATTGTGGTACATATTTATTTGACTACAATATACAAATACTTATATTTTTCTCAAAATGATTAAGACAAGTGTGCATCAAGCACATGCTTGGCTGTGTTTGCAACACAATTAAAGATGTTATCAATACTGTCCATTTGTTTTCTTAATACCACATAAAGCAGTAAAAATACCTAACTCAATCATTGCAGTAATGTTAAACAAAAACAATGCTCTTATTAATGATTCACATGGCTGGTAATCTAGTGCCAACACAAAAATGTTATATCAAAAGAAAATTAAGTGGTTTATGCTGAAAGGAGATCAGTACAGTACAGTACTTGGAGATAGTAAGTACAGAGTACTCACTCTCAAATATATTTGAGTCTCTTAAACTTTGATATTTGCATGCTTTATGCAAGACAGTTATTGAGTGCACAAGATGTTTCTCAGTCAAATACAGGAGAATGTAGCACAAGAGATTAGAAGGGAGTGTTAAGTTACCAAAAGTATTATTCAGAGGACTGAGAAATGGAGAATATTAGGATGACATGAAGGGCTTATAAATCAGGGGTGGAGGGGTCATCCTAGGAAAGATTGGAGAGAGAGGAAAAATCATAAAAGCCACTTGCCTCCACAGCTATCTAACATGTTCACACAAGCCTGTTGGACATTCAACAGGCTTGTGTGAACATGTTAGATAGGTGTGGGGGTAAGTGGCTTTTATGATTTGATGTACTGTTGGTGAGAGCAAAGTAACTTTTATGAAGGGATTCAGGAAACTAGTTAGCCAGACTTGAGTCCTGGAGATAGGAAGTACAGTGCCTGCACTCTGAAAGAGGGGAGGGGATGTTACCATTTGGAGGATCATCAGAACTGTGATATGAATGACAGTGAAAGTATTTTCTTCTCTGTCAGATCACCCTAACTCAATGGGAAACAGCCGAAACGTTATACAGTAGACCGTAATATTACATGATGGTTACGTTCCTGAAAATGCTGTGTTATCTGTGTTAGATAAACTGAAGAACTTATGGTAAAGATAGGGTTATGTTCCTGGGAGACCCAGAAAAAGCCAAACAACTTTTTTAGACCTCCAAATCTTACAAAAATAAAAATGAATATGTAATTGTTATTCATTGTCATAATGTATTACGTTGTTTTATTGCTTAAGACTAATGAAACAGAAATAATAGTATTTCTTACCTTAAATTGTGGGTGCTGGTGTTTGTCGATGATTGTGAAGAGAGTGGAGAGTTATGCTGTGGTCCTACGGGGCTGAGATGGATTACTGAGGTTCTTGTACTAAAGTGATAGTTGTACTGGAGCGTGCATAAATTGTGTAATGGATCTCTGGGCTATTTTACCCTGCAATACATTATACAGTTAACGGTAAGGCATCATCAACTGCTCCAGACCCCGTTTCAGAGCACTGCTACTAGATTTGTCAGGGTCCTTTTTCAGTGAAAAGCCTAACTTTATGTCAGTAAGCAGTAAAGTCAAGTCAGTAAGTCAGTCTACTAGTAAGTCAGTCATTAAGACAGTCAGTAAGTCATTCAGTCAGTAAGTCATTCATTCAGTAAGTTATTCAGTCAGTAAGTCAAACAAGTCAGTCAGTCAGTCACTCAATTTATTCAGGTACAGTGGACCCTCTGTTAACGCCTTTAATCCATTCCAGAGAGCTAGGCTTTAACCGATTTAGCCTTTAGCCGAATTAATTTTCCCCATAAGAAATACAGTGGACCCTTGACTTACGAAGGCTCATCTTACGATAAAATCGACTTACGAAGCTTTTGGGCGTAAAAATTTTACCCCGACCTACAATGAAAAACTCGACTTACATCATTCGTCTCATACACGTCCATCTGGCCTGAGCACGTCTCAGCTGGCCTGCCTTCAGTTGGTGTGCCAATGTTTACAAGCCAGTGCGGTCGGTTCCACGCATACATTCGGTACATTTTGTATTATTCTAGTGATTTTAGTGCTTGTAACTGCTAAATAAGCCACCATGGGCCCAAAGAAAGTTTCTAGTGCCAACCCTGTGGCAAAGAGGGTGAAAATTACTATAAAAATGAAGGAGGAGATAATTAATGAGTATGAAAGTGGAATGCGTGCCTCTGAGCTGGCCAGGTTGTACAACAAACCCCAGTCAACCATCGCTACTATCCTGGCCAACAAAAAGGCAATCAAGGAAGCTGTTGTTGCGAAAGGTGCAAGTATCTTTTCGAAACACAGCTCGCAAGTACTCAAAGATGTTGAGAGACTGTTATTGGTGTGGATAAATGAAAAACAGATATCAGGAGATAGCATCTCTCAAGCGATCATATGTGAAAAGGCAAGGCAGCTGCATGACTATTTAATTAAAAAAATGCCTGCAACTAGTGGTGATGTGAGTGAATTTAAGGCCAGCAAAGGTTGGTTTGAGGCATACATAGTGTGATAAGGCATGGTGAGGCTGCCAGTCCAGATCAAAAAGCAGCTGAAAAATATGTGCAGGAATTCAAGGGGTACATAAAGGATGAAGGATTGAAACTCCAACAAGTGTTTAATTGTGACGAAACACGCCTGTTTTGGAAGAAAATGCCAAACAGGACCTACATTACACAGGAGGAAAAAGCACTGCCAGGACACAAGCCAATGAAAGACAGGCTAACCTTAATGTTGTGTAGTAATGCTAGTGGGGATTGCAGAGTGAAGCCCCTACTCATGTTTCACTCTGAAACTCCCAGAGTGTTCAGAAAAAACAATGTCATCAAGGCTAATTTGTGTGTGATGTGGAGGGCAAACAGTAAGCCATGGGTCACTAGGGACTTTTTCTATGACTGGTTTTACCATGTGTTTGGCCCCATTGTGAAACATTATCTCCTGGAAAATAAATTGGAACTTAAGTGCCTCCTAGTATTAGACAATGCTCCTGGTCATCCTTCAGACTTGGCAGAGCGAATTTCGGGGGAGTTAAGTTTCATAAAAGTGAAGTTTTTGCCCTCTAATACCACTCCTCTCCTCCAGCCCATGGACCAGCAGGTCATTTCAAATTTCAAGAAACTATACACCAAAGTAACGTTTCAAAAGTGCTTTGAAGTGACCTCAGATGCTCGGTTGACCCTAAGAAACTTTTGGAAAGATCACTTTAGTATCTTCAATTGCATAAACCTTATAGGTAAGGCTTGGGAGGGAGTGACTACGAGGACCTTGAACTCTGCTTGGAGGAAATTGTGGCCAGAATGTGTAGAAGAGAGGGATTTTCAAGGGTTTGAGGCTAACCCTGAGGAGCCTATGCCAGTTGTGGAATCTATTGTGGCACTGGGGAAGTCCATGGGGTTGGAGGTTAGTGGGGAGCATGTGGAAGAGTTGGTGGCGGACAACGATGAAGAACCAACCACTGATGAGCTGCAAGAGCATCTGCAACAGCAAGAGGCCACAACTGAGGAAATTGCTTCAGAGGAGGGAGAGAGAAATGGAGGAAGTTGCCTTCTTCAAAGATTAAGGAAATTTATGCAAAGTGGGTTGACATGCAAACCTTCATGGAAGAAAATCACCCTGACACAGCTATTGCAAACCATGCTAGTGACTTTTGCAATGACAATGCTGTGAACCATTTTAGGAAAATCTTACAGGAACGTGAGGTACAGAGCTCTATGGACAGATTTTTGGTGCAACAGAGGTCCAGTGACTCTCAAGTTGTTCCCAGTGGCATTAAAAGAAGAAGGGAAGTAACCCCAGAAAAGGACCTGCTACCTAAAGTCCTTATGGAAGGGGATTCCCCTTCCAAAAATTAATACACTTCCATCTCCCCTCCTCCCATCTCATCACACATCACTACAGCTTCAATAAGGTAAGTGTCATTTATTCTTCATTTGGTACAGTATATTGTGCATGTATCCTTCTTTTTGTGTGTAGGAAAATGTATATTTCACGTGTTAAAAAAAATTTGTTCATACTTTGGGTGTCTGGAACAGATTAATTGGATTTCCATTATTTTTCATGGGGAAAATTAATTCGACTTACGATTTCGTCTAACGATGAGCTCTCTGGAACGGATTAACATCCTAAGTCGGGGGTTCACTGTAATGGAAATCCAATTAATCCATTCCAGACACTCAAAAGTATTAAACAAAATAATTTTTTACATGAAATATACATTTCCCTACACAAAAAACAACGATACATGAAGAATAAAACAATAATAACATCACACTTACCTTTACTATGGACTTGTTGATGAGTTATGAGACGGGAGGAGGGCAGAGGATGAAGGAGTTCTATTGTTTGGAAGCGGAATCCCCTTCCATAAAGACTTCAGGTAACAAGTCCTTTTCTGGTTTGTGTTTACCTGGAGTTTACCTGGAGAGAGTTCCGGGGGGTCAACGCCCCCGTGGCCCGGTCTGTGACCAGGCCTCCTGGTGGATCAGAGCCTGATCAACCAGGCTGTTGCTGCTGGCTGCACGCAAACCAACGTACGAGCCACAGCCCGGCTGGTCAGGAACCGACTTTAGTTGTTTTTCCAGTCCCAAACTTGAAGCCTGCCGGGGGGTCTTTGGAAACCCCCCCTTATTTAGGGCGGGGGCATTTTTAACAGCCCTCAGGCCCTGACACTTATTTTTATGGTCTCTTAACGTGCTAGTGACACCCCTCCCTTTCATTGGGGGGAGTTGCTTTCGTCTCCCAAAAGTCTTTTGCTTTCTTTTTACGAGTGATTTTCGTTTTGCAAGTTTCGGTAATGGGGCCCCTCTGGGGATTTTCCGGGTGTATTAATATGTATCTCTCCCGCCTGCTTTCCAGGGAATCCCAAGGTTTGGGCCCTCAAGGCTCCCTTTTAAATTGAGGTGTTTATCCCTTTTATGCGCCCCGGGTAAAGGGTTTCCCTTGTACATTTTCAAAGGTCGGGCAATTTCCCCCGGGCCTTGAAAGGGAGTTAGTGTGCAGCAATTTCCAGCCTGATAGAACAAGGGGGGGGGACCTGAAGAGTGTCATCAGGGGTTTGGGCCTCCCTATTTTTGGAAGGGTTTTCTAAAATTATCCATCCTTTCTTTTTTTCTAGCAGATGCGATTGTACAATGTTAGGGTCCTTGAAGGTAGTTCCTCCGACATGATAAACCCCCGGGTCTTTGACGTTGGGTTTTTTCCGTTTCTATTTGGGGGCCGGGAATTTT